AGTTTATTTTTATGCTGGTCGTAATTTGCGGTTTTTGAGCACATCATAAAGGGTTTAAGATATGTGTGTAGATAAAAGGTTGAAGTTACCCATTATTTTACTTATAATATATACATAATGGACCAAAATTTAATTAAATAAAAGAACGAATATAACAAAAAATAATTTTTCTTTTATAGTACCAAGTGACGTATACGTATAGTAACAACTGCCTCCGTGGCCGAACGGTTACCATGCCGGACTGCCACGCAGAGGTCCCAGGTTCGATTCCCGGGCCGGGAGAAATGTTTGTATGGCTTACATTTATTTCTCTCGTGAGTTTGGGTGTAATTTGTGGTTGTCTATGTGTGTGTCCATGTCACCCGCGACTCAGGGTTTCCCTAGTGCGGGGCTATGTTGAGTGTATGCGTTATTTAGTGCGTGTGTGCGACGGGACGAACAAGTCTTGCGCGTAAGCGACACGCCTATCAACAACAGTTGCAGTGCCACCCATAGCTTTAGCACCTTGAGACATAAGTTGACAAGTCACATGTGCCTAAGTTTCACCAGTACACTTACCCTTCCAAACCGGAACACAGTAATCATGACGTTACTGCTTGGCGGCAGAAATAGGTAAAGCAGCAGTACTACCCTGGACGAACTCTTTCACAAGGAGCTCTACTGCTGATAAATTTGGTTTTTGGATTGGCCTCGGTTTTGGGCTGCATCTTGCCAGCCCTTTAAAAAGAGAGTCGATATCATCCAGCCATCGCTACGAAGTCCGTCGCATTTCCATTTTGAATAATAAATTGAATACATAAATTCAAATCAATAAATACAATTCTAACTTGTGACATTCCTATTCTTGTAATATGGCCACAAAGGCCTATTAAAGTAAGTAGATACTTCTCTATTTACCGAAGGATTTCCATTGATTGAAGTCCATAAATAGATTGTCCTTCATGCCATAGGTTGCAAATCAAAGCCTGTCGGTCATATATCGATTGCGTAATAAATACCCTTGACCGCGTGCTAAATAATGCCATTAGAGTCACCTTCAAGGAACCTTAGTACTTACGACGACTACAACAAAGTGTTATTTTACGGAATGTTGTTGTTGTCGCAATGATCATTAAAAAATAAAGAAATGCCCGTGTGTTGATTTAAAAAAATCTCAAATACAAACGACTTTACATGTATTGCAATAAAATCACATTTAAGCAGTGCCCTAAATATAATTTTATTGGAGCTCTACTTAGCAGTAGCACTCTACTAGCTCATTGTGACAGAGTTCGTCCAAGAAAGTACTGCTACCTTACCTATTTCTGCCACCAAACAGTATAATGTAAACATTACTGCGTTTCGGTTTTTGAAAGGTAAGGGTGCTGGTGAAATTACAGGCACATGAAGCTTGTCAACTTTACGTCTCAGGGTGACGGGCGCAATGGAAGTACTCCTCAGACCTTTACGGTTTAAAGCTCTGCCGACGTCGCTTCGTCCTTATTAAAATGTATACGATTAAAAATTATATAATATACATTCTATTAGGCCAACAGTCAAAATAAGAATAAATTAGGCAATAACACAATTAGTTATCATTAGAACATAGTAACATTCACAGTTTAGACATTTTTAGCAAAATGTTACCTTCTTTCACAATATATCGATAGACAGACAATAACTACATGACTATTTAATTTTTTTATGAAAACTGGCAACCCTGCAAATATCATTGTAAAGCCGGGTGCACTCGCGGACCGAGTGCGCTCGTACGGGTTAAATCGCGTAGGAGTTCAAAATCTGAGTTATTTTGGTTTACACCTTACGAGTTCATCAGTGTCCCAGCAGCATTTGTCTCTTTGCACAATCAAGATGATGACTACTGATCTCAAGCTGCAAGATATTTCAGTTGTAGCAGGTATATTAATGGCTGAACTATAAAATCATGGAAGGAAAAAATTGCAAAAGAAAAATTTGGGTCAGAAAATGAATTTTAAGACGTGACCAACTGAGTGCTTCAAATAATTTGTATTAGAGTAGTGAAAGAGAAAAATAAAAACACATTAAAACCTCATATTGTTACGTTCATTCTATTTTTTCTTAGTTGGCGCCATTTTGTTTTCATAAAATGATCCAAGTATACTCGGAAAAATAGAACCACGTCCGAGTCCACTCTGACCGGATGCCGACGTCTGAGTGCGTTCGTATTACGTGCTTACTTTACGAGTAGCGTCCGAGTAGTTATCTGAGTGGCCTCGATCCGAGAGAAATCGAATAGTGAAATCTCGACTACAGCGGCATTGCGACGCGCGTCGGGTAAGCTAGTAGCATTGTAAATGTTAAAAATAAATTAAGGACCTTTTAAAAACCCTGTTAGCGGAGCCACGCGTTGATAGGTGTACGACTAACGTGACCATACGTCCCGGTTCGCGCAGGGCAGTCCCGCTTTTAGGCTGTCTCTAAAATATTTTGTCCCGCTGTCTCCAAAATATTTTAAAGTGTCCCGCTTTCACAAAACAGAACACACGAAACAGTAAATTTAAAAAAATGGCGCTAAAGCGAAACGTATATACCTAATATAGCCAGCCAACCAGACTTCACAAGATTAGTTCTTTTTAAAATTATTGATTCATTAAACAATTTTAGTAATGTTTTCATTAAACATTTCTTAACTATCATAAACATAAGAAATGAAACTATTTTTCCGGATTTAAATCGCGTATATTTGTTTTTTCAAACAAACCAACGTTTCGGGTCCTTTATAGGTCCCGTGGTCACGATTGACTGTCTAAAAAAAATTCTAATTCGACGCTATGACGCTTGCGATAAGAACCGCCCAAAGAGTTAAGCTTAATATACTCTTGACTGTACACAAAATATAAAGATTTTAACTTTATGTAGTTTTCAGTTTGATTTACTGTTTCTGATTGTGTTAAAGAATAAGGCGCTGTGTCACGCACGTAGTTTTTTTTAATTTAGCTTAGGTATTTCAGATTGTAGAATTCGTATCTAAAATAAGAAATTTAGGGATTTTTTTCTTTATGCAGAGTGTTCTCGTTCGTACACCTATATACTAGTGGAGATGAAAAGAGTCAACAAAATTAAGTTTCAGAATACATATCGCAAAATCAATAATAAATTAGCGGGAGCAGAGGAAAAATTCCTAATCTTCGATTTGATTTTAGAGGGGTATATCCACTTTAAAGTTAAAAATAAAATATTGTATGAGTAACTACACGATATATTCAAGCACAGACATTAATCAGAAACATAAAACAATAAAGTTTTCTCGATAGATAAAAATCACGAGATGACCTCTAATTTTCATATTTTTTCGATTTATCTTCGAAATGCTACAGGTTATTAGGACAAAAATTAGATAATTAATTATATTTATGCATGATCGACAATTGTCACGGATTTTTTTAATCCCTTTAGTTTTAGAGTCATTCCCCTAAAACGAATTTGGTACTTTTAATGCGCAAAAGTCAACATCTCCTGTCGCATGTCACGCGAACTTCAGGCATATATTTGTTTCACAAATTTGGGCGGAGCCAACGTCAAAACTTTTTTGGCATGAGAGCTCTTAATACTAATGTTTTTAGTTACTTTTTGTTTATAATCGTGGGTGCATTCCTGGAATAAAATATTATAATTATTGTCGTTTTAATAAGCACTGCATAGTGTCCCGTATTTACGATTACACGATTGGCTCTTCGTGATTTCGATGACTTGATGAAATAACAATAAGAACTCATTCCTTGGTAAAAGATAACCGGTATTGATAATCATTCAAATGATATATTACGTATATTTAAGAAATAAAGAAAACAATGAATCCATTACCTACGCAATCTCGACAAATTTTCATTTTTCTACAACAAGCATTTTTCTATTCTACAAGTCTGTCACATAAACAAACCAATCAGCAATTTACAACAGCGCAAAGTGAAAAACAACCCACTTGATAGTGTTTCAACTGACTAACTATATTCAGTCTATGTTGGACTCTTGAATAAAGTAAATTATTAAGTTTTATTAGAGGGGTCGTAGGTCCAGTGAATTTGGTAGTCATTACTTGGACGACAATAACGCTAAAACGTGGATGTAAAGCAGATAATGGAAATGACTTAGTTGATTCGTTTCATGATTTAAAATTTTAAGCTAAAAGAAAGAAATTTCAAGCTTGGTACTTGTGGATTTACAAATAAAGACCACTCTCAATTAAGAAAATAACGCCATTATATTGGGAAATACAATTATTATTATTTATAATATCTAGTGGCAAGACGAACAAGTCGTGCGCCTGATGGTAAGCGACACGCCTGGCCATAACAGTTGCAGTGCCACTCAGAGTTTTAAATCACAATGATCTGACGGGCACTGCCACTGCGCCCGTCACCCTAAGATATACGTTGACAAGCCCCATGTGCCTGTAATGTCACCAGCACCCTTACCCTTCAAAATCGGAACACAGTAATGCTTACATTACTGCTTGGCGGCAGAAATAGGTAACACGGCAGTACTTCTCTGTACGGACTCTTTCACAAGGAGCTCTACTGCTACTAAATTATATTACATAAAAGATTGACTTTGAATTTGAAATAAATGCAATTGAAATTTCAACGACAAATATTTCTTACTAACATCATAGTCATTCACATTAATTTATAACAAATGATTCCACACTTGTAACGTTTGAAAAAACTATGTAAATGTTTGCATTTTATATGAGCATTTATGTCGCGTTTTCCTAGTTACGTCAGTTATATAACTGTAAAAATTCCAGAGAATTAGTTTTCGCAGTGCAACGAAGATTTTTTATTTTTACATAACACGTACAGTCAGAAGTGCGTAGAAAGGACGTATGTATGACGAGTATATGGCAAGCGCCATATACTCTTCGGAGTTGACTAATTATAATTTCGATGTAGAACCTTCCATTTCAACTAAGTCTTTGTAATGTCAACAATGGTGGTTTAGCAGCGAGGGCGGCACGTGGCCAGCGGTCAGTCGTCGCCCCGCGGCCGCCCCGGTCGATTCGCGGCCATGCTCCCAGCCACCCAGACCAACCTATCAGAACACCATGGCAGACGAGATACCAGGTGATGCGTCACTATTTCTTACAACTTTATTACTATCATTACGCTTAAGTAAGTAAGAGAAAAAAAATAATTGGAATTTTGAAACGTTGATTTCCAAGCATCGAATATTACAAACATGGTCGAAAATAGATGAAAAAAAAACCAGAATATTATCTTTTCAATATCATCCTAAGCGTTGTTTATAGTTCAAAGTTAATATTGTTTTAAACAAGCGCATACGGGATTGTGTTTAAGCCATTTTGCATGCAACGCAACAGCGCTTGGTTATTTTTCAACGTATATTGTTCATAGTACAAATGTAGCAACACTGGCTTCTCAGTTCCTAATTGTGTCCAGTCACCTGCAACAAAAAAGTGTGCGAATTGAAAATTAAATTTTCATAAAATATTAAGTATATTTATTGAAATCATTAAATATTTTCCACAAGTAATAGTCCATTTTGGCTGACGTTTAATAGATACTCAAACACCAGCAGGAGCTCTATTATTCAAAATGTATATAATTTTAAAAGAATAATAGACGAAAATGATAAATAAAAAATCAAAATCAAGGATAAATAAAAATTTATGAAAATTCAAGACACGGTTAACGGAATTTTTTATAGTAAATTTCACTACGTGTATCTATCTATATTTTTCATAGCTTGCGACTTTACAGTTTGTTACAATTAGCGTTAAAATGATCCAATGTTCCAAATAACCAATATAATTCCGTGATTAAGTTTTAATTTTTAAATATTTACCATCTTTCAGATTTCTTAAAATATTTGCACATTCGTTTGACAAAAATAAATCATTATTTCAATAAATTTAGTAAAAAGTGCATTAGTTTTAAATAATTGTCTCAATTAAGTGTCAAAAGAAAGTGCAGATATTTTAAGAAATCTGAAAGTTCATATTAAGTGAATAACCTCAAGATGATTTTTATAAAATATTAGCTCGTACTTCGTCTGCGTATAATAAGCATTTTGAATAGCTACTATACTAATTTGATCCCCTATTTCGCCCCCGTTAAGATTTATTTTTGTGACAAAACGCGCTCACCCCAAGCGGACGCCGAGCGGACTCCGCCGCGTTGACGACGCGACCGCGTGCGTCTAATTGTCAGAGCAAAATACGCTCTATTTGTTTAGCGTTTACGTTTTAAAAATTAACGACCCGGGCACGCGGGCGAGACTGGCTTGAATTTGATCTACGCGGCGGTCGCGCGACGACCGCGCGGTTGTATTATTCAGAACTTAAATGTTGTTGCCTAGTAAATAGAACTCTGATTCGCTATTAATGTACATGAAGGCGTGGTAACTGGTAACTTTCGCCTCGTGCAACTGGGCGCGTGAATCTTTTTTTTTTATTAGTTCGACCGATCAATTTGACATGAAGTATTGCCACTCGCTTTACAGCGATAATTAAAAGTGTTCTATATCGACCGCCAGGTCCACTCCAACCTACAAGGAGTCCATGTCAACGAAAAAAATTGGGAGTGCATAAGACTTTAATGGGCATCCAGGAGAATGGAACCAATTTAGACAGGTCATTAATAAGATAAACCAAGTTACACAAATTAGTACTTATGTAAATATGTAAATACATTATACTTTCTTATTACACTTATAAATTAGCTATGAAGTACTTAAAAACATTTCACAAATAACAAGATTATTCGGTTGAATAAATATAAATCTTATTCTAAAACTTGATATCCACCTGATTTTTTTTTTATAAAGTTTCTCACTGTGTCACGTTGGATACACATTTAAAGTTGATCGATTTAAAAAAAAATAATGTTAGAAAAGCAGGCGGTCTACGCAAAACAGAAAAAAATGGCACGTGCTCTACCAGACGAAAAGTTTGAGAACCTCGGCTTTAGTGCCTGACCACTATCTCTCTCACTCATTCGCTATTAACTATTCTGTAGTGTTTCTAGTTTGAGTACATATTTGAATAGTTATATCTCTGATCAGCTGGGTATTAAAACTAACATGAGTATAGTTGATTTTTTCGCAATTACAAAGGGGTTCCCCCGTCGTAAAACTTGTTTGCTTAATAGGTGGCATACAACCCCTTCGGGGTCAACGCGTTTCACCCAAACCCAAACTTTATCTCAATTGTCTAACGTACAAACTAGATACGAGCCAAAAGATAGGTTTTTCGCGCAGTTTCGGGAATTCTCGTATCTATCGTATACCTGGTATCTAGTTTGTACGTTACACAAAGGATACTAAGTTCACTTTAGGGGCAGTATGGGGAAATCCGAAACCATAGAAGATACAGGGAAACTGTCTTAGGAACCATTAGGTCTTTTTTTACGAAAACAATTTTGGCATAGCAAATTTTTTTCACTCGGAAATACTTCTCATTAGAAATCTGCGTGCAAAAGCTTTTATTCCACGCTAGCATGGAAATAGTTATTTATTATGCAAGGCTGCAAAGTTGTTGTGATTAAGTGATTATTGAAATTATTTTAGTTCTTCGACGAAAGTTTTTTTTAATTTAGTTCTTCGACGAAGGTTTTTGAATTCGAAGTTGACGATGGACTGTGATGCACCTAACTTTTTCATTCGATGAAAAAAAAACCTAATGATACGTTCAACTACGCGATTTGTCGCATATTTACTAAGCCGATCAAGCTCAGTTTTTTTTCCTCTTACTATAAAATAATCCATAGGCTCAATTTATATTACATATATAATGGACTTTAACCTCGTATCTAGTTTGTACGTTGCCCAACTGACCATAAATTACAAGTAATTGAGCCAATCTGCATTAAAAAAATATCAATTTTAGTTTAAGTTTTCATAAAAAAAGACCTAATGATTCCTAAGAGAGCTTTCCCGTAAGGTTTCGGATTTCCTCATGCTATCTCAGATTAAAAAATCACACCGTATAAAATTCATGACAAAAATCTATTGTCTCTTACGCGTTAAGGCGTGACCTGAAACTCGAGACTATCCGCGAGTTACAAAAAAGAACATTCAATGTATAATTTTATTTTGAAAGTTTCATTCTACTTACAGTCGTTTACTATTTCCATGGAGCACTGAAGTTAATTGACCGAGTGTTTTGAATACACTGGTATGATATCGTATTATATTTTTTCTAACCTATCTTACAATTTTGTTAATTATATTACAAATTGGTAATGACAAGCTGCGATCTTAATTTAAATTATGTAACATATGACACGGTCTACATTTACATAAGTTCGGATTACATGTACCACTAAGGTTCTTTGACATATATTCGTATCGATTTTCCATTTCCCCGCACAGAATATTCAGGTCAGATATTTAAACTAAGCAATCAACTTTAAGTGGTAGTTAGAATAACAAAGAAACTGTTTCTGGTTTAACCTATAGGATTTTTTTTATTTCAATAGTCGTGGTTTTAAATACTGGCACCATTGTAATGAAAAAATATTAGAGCAAATTACGTGTGCCTACAATTAAATTTAAAGTGACAATCATTAGTTACTTCCATCTAATAATAATAACGCTCACAATCAACATAGCACCGCACTAGGGAAACCCTGTGTCGCGGGTACCATGGACACACACATAGACAACCACAAATTACACCCAAACACACGAGAGAAATAAATGTAGGCCATACAAATATTTCTCCCGGCCCGGAAATCGGACCTCTGCGCGGCAGTCCGGCATGGTAACCGCTCGGCCACGGAGGCAGTTAAAAATCTAAATTTGCTTTTTTTATATATTTCCGTCGTTACCTTTACATTGTGACATTGAAAAGTAGTTATTGTGTAGCATTATCAGCACAATATTAAAAAAACCTATGTAACCCATGTAATCAAGCGTGCCCAATAATTGAATTTAAAGTGACAGTTATTGGATTCTTTACACCACACTTGTTATTTTTACATTGTTGTTACAATTTGTGAAATTTGGAAGTAATTGAAGGCAGCAGCAAAATAGAGAAAAGATTAATGTGCATCTTAAATCAAAACACTTTAATCCGTACTCAAAGTCTTGACTCTAAAAATACGCGTGTATGGTAATTTCATTTGCAACTTTATTGTACGAGTATCTCGTGTTACGAATAGTCTTCTTTTTCTTATACATTTACTCCAAAAAAAAAGGTGTAAAGGCTGAATAGACACGAAGATGAATTATGAACTTATTAGACTAATATTCCTATCTAAAAAAAACTGAGAAAGTTATGTCGCTTGATACCTTTCTAAGCTTGAAATTATGATGTAGGATATGACCCTCGAATTCGCGATGGAATTAAACACCAAGAGTGCTTCATTACAATGAAACATAAATCAATCGACGAGGAAAAATTCGCTGATTCTAATTATGTATATAACTAAATATCGCCCAAAATGTCACTTAAGTCAATTCGCCTTTTAACCGTCGATATAAATTTTTGTTAATGGAACTTATACTTACATATTTATTTTTATTTGCCTAATTTAGTGATAAAAAGGAATTATTTACAAAACGAGCTAAGGATCGTGAAAGGAAATTGAAAAAAAATATTAAAAGATACAATTTAATATAAATTTTAATATCAAAGGATATTGATACTTATGCACCGCAGAGGAACTACTGGAAGACAGAATGTTCTCAACGAAAGTAGAAAAGGACGTCAGTATGTGAACGAGTCAGTTCAAGAAAATACATTGGAAACAGTCTCATCGTTTTAAAATAAAGATTAATCAACACTGCGTTAATTCTAAACGTGAAGTGGATTTGTCTATTATATATTAATTTATATATTATATATAATTATTATATATTAAAGCATCGTGTCCGTACTAAACTTTTTTAAATAATATCAATCGATGAGACGAAGAAGTGCTCCTGATAGTAAGCGACACGCCTGTCCATGACAATTTACTCTTAGGTTTAAATCTAGATCTGAGGGGCACTGCCACTGCGCCGGACACTCGGAGACATAAGTTAACAAGTCCCACGTCCCTGTAATTTCACCAGCACCCTTACCTTTCAAAATCGGAACGCACTAATGCTCACGTTACTG